TTTACTCATAGTTTTTTATATATATATATATATGTAGACCTGGACAAGTTGACTTCTGTTAATTTATCAAGGTAAGAAAAAATCCAACTCAAATCAATATGATTGTAAAAGTTTTTTCCTCGTGTTCACACATTTGTCTACCGTGCTTGATTTTCGGCGCTCAATCGTTGGGACATCCCAAACGTTAAATTGTGTATCGTTGTTCCTAGCACAACTCACTCAGAACCCTAGTCGCGAGTAGATCCTGTACGATCAAGCAGATACGACATTTCGTCCTAACGTACGTTTTACTCACAGTACAATAAGCGTTTTGGGGGTAATACTCAACGGAAACGGATCGCAGCCAGTAAATTTTAATTATTGGGTTCCTCTTTGAACACTATACGTTCACCGTTACATCGTAATGATATACGTCGGATGAATCCGTAAGGTATTACAGCTCTACGCGATCCCGTTGTTTTTGCTGCGCGAACTAAGACGTATCTCGGGAAATGTATTCCGTTTTATCGTCAACGTCGAAGGGACGCTAACGACGAGTGGGACATTTTTTTTAAATATTTCCATACGTCGTCGGCACTCGATCGCCACGCAGATGGATCCGATCACAAGCGTAGGTGGACGTCACATATGCACTTCCTGGTAGCATACGCGCGTTCAAGAGAGGGGGGGGGCAAAAAGGCCGTTGTCCCAACTGGGAAATTTGGTTTTAAAACTATTGTTAATTTAATACCATGCATATCAATTACAAAATAGTTTTATTGAGACACATTTATGAAGTTTAGTAAAATTTATTATATTTTTAGATAATGTAAAACGTATAATCATGAACGTATTTATTAGTGTACAATGATTACACATGACTGCATTTGCTTAAAACTATGAATTCTCCCAAGTACCGATTTCTATGATATTCGATTTTGTTCTCATCTATTTTTAGATAAACGTTGTTTTGGCCTTTAGAATTTTTTAGTCTTGCCCCGGGTGGGATTTTATTCTGCGGGCGCGCTTACCTAGTGGCGACACGAACATTGCAGTACACCGATTACTGCGGAAATAGCACGTTCACGGGACACGAGAACGGTGTGCAATGTGTACAGAACGGTAATTGGCCGATATTTAAATATCGAACTACTAATGATTCGAGGATAATGGTTTCGTTATGATTATTTTTTCCGCCGATAAACGTCTCGTGGGAAAACGATGCTCCTGCGCGTGCACGTTATGATACCGATGCATTGATGATTTCTGTTCCGTACGGTATGGCAATACCATGTTCACATTTTATGCGTAAAATACTATGTCGACCAGGGACTAGAACCGTAACCGGTACTGGAACCGGTTAACTTTTAAAATTTAGAAACCGTAACTGATACCGGAACCTTTATTTCCAAAAATGAAAAACCGTAACCGTAACCGTAATCTTAATTATAAAAGGGTTAATTTAGGTCAGTTATTTAGACTAGTGAAACTATGGTAATGACTATTTTGTTTGTCCATTTGTCGGTTCAGAAAAATAAAAGTCAAATCATTTTATGTTTTTATTATTTTGTGTTGTAACTGTAGTATTGTAATGTTATATAATAAGTAAATTTGTAATATTATTATTATTATTTTTGTATGTTTATTAATATATTACAATTTAAAATTAGTAGATCATCTATCTTGTCTATTAAGTACTAAATATAATTAATGTTTATACAAATTTGTATCTACAACAGTAGCCAGTATTAACTTAGATTCCTAATTAAAATTAAATTTTAAATTGAAGATATTTATTTCATCAAATTATTATATTTCACAAGATTACAAAATATTTTACAAATTATTACTGTGTTGGAATAAAATAACTTAACCTAATTCAAAGAAATATAATAGGTTGATACAATATATATATTTAAAATATTTATAATTATTTTTTTTTAACTATTCATAATACCTTCTATTTTCATGAAATAAAACAATTACAATTTAAACAAGAATAAATAAATAATTTCATATTATTTTTTAATAAATCTCTAATAATCAGAATTAACCAGTTCTAGAACCCTTACTCTTTTAAAAAACCGAAACCGAAACCGGAAACCTTAAAAAATTAATTAAACAACCAAAACAGAAACCGGAACCGAACAATTCTATAGGTTCCAGTCCTCGATGTCGATATTGTATTCATTTGTTTACGTAATTTATTTTTATACATCAACCCGAAATATCGGTCCACCGCCAGAAGTCTTTCTCGTAGAGTTTATTCGGAAAATAAATTTCATGTGTCCTTGCATACCGTTTACGTTCTCACTTTACCTACCACTAAACTCATTTTATTTCCATTGTTTTGTTGTCTATACCCGTCCAGTGTGAGCCTAGGTTCAACGTCCCTCTTGTCCACCGTTGATAAGAAAAAAAAAGAAAAATATCGTACTCTCCGCCTTAGAGATCAAATATTACTGTATTAATCACTACAGTTCAGTACCGGCTATTATACGTGTGTGTATATACGTGTTGGTGCATTCATTCTGTACACCTGTACGCGTACACCTATGAGACGTGAAATCTGTGCGTGCGCACAAGATTGTGATGAGATTTATACTGTATTATTGCGTCGCTGTGACGCTTTAAGTCGCGTCTTTCGATATTATTATTACTATTTATTCGTTATTATCTCGTTTTCGTCCTTATAACTTAGTATTTTACTGTTTTTGGTACAAATCGAAAATAGTTTTTACGACGGTACCTTCTTCTATGTGCTTCACTACTGGCAAATAAGATTCACATGATAGTATTATTCATAAATCGTTTTATCGGGTGTTTTTTATTTTATGTCCTTGTGGTACGTATTTGTGAATAAAAATTTCGGCCACTGAGGGTAAACGTGTTTTTGTTCGTGAAATTTAACAAGACAAGTGAGAATTAATGATTTTCTAGAATAAACATTTCAAAAAGGACCTTAGGGAGTTTTAGATGAGAAATTCAGGCGCTATACAGGAGTACAGTATATGCACTTCCACGTATATATTTTATTTTTATTCTTATTTTTTTGTCTTCCCCCGAACCTCTCTTCTTTTATTAATATTCCTTTTCTAAACAGGCTCTGATGGCTACCGGTTACATCAATCTTCTTTACAGACGTCCTTTCTCTCTTAATCAATCAAAGCCAGTCAACGTCAAGGTCACCATTATCATTCCGGAACGGTCATGGTCACTTGACAACATTTTAAAACCAAATTTTGTCAGCTAATTAGATGTTTTGTGTTCAAATTGGAATGCCATATTAAGGCGTGAAATGTAAGTAAAAATCATTTATTTGTTTTTTAAAACATTCACACACAAATTCTCATTCACATATGAAATCATACGAACATCTAAACGTTAATATAATTAAAAATTATTCTTTATGGATTTGTAGAAGAATGTACAAATTGCTTTTATGAAGGTATGTATACTAAATGTTTGTCGTATTTTTCAGATTTTTTTAAATATAATTTGAATAATTTTCATGAAAAATGGACTTTTTTCCAGTAACATCGTCATGTTATTAATATGGAACAAAACATTTTATTGCAAATATACTAAAAATGTCATAAACTAAAACAAAATCAATTTCTAAAAAATGTATATTTTTTGTTAATACTACAGTTTACAAACAAATATTTTATTTTTTTGTTTCATAAATAGCAAATTTAATATTCCAAATAATAAATAAAAACTTCAACATTGCGAGCGAATATTTATTGTATCATAAATTATTCACATAACCTTTGGTAGAAAAATCATATGTATATATGTTTTTACTTTTTTTTTTTATTTTAATTTTCAAAATGAGTTGGAAGAATAGTTGAACAATATTTTACAATTAAGTGCAATATCAAAACATGTATAGTAAAATGAGTAATTCGAATGAAATCGATCAAAATATTTTCTTATCGAAATAAAGTTTGGTTATTTATGTTTGTTGTTTTACTACCAAAATAAAAACAAGTGTAATCAATTTCCCCATAAATTAGACGTACAATCGATAGAAACTCACGAGACCGTGTGGTAATAACACGAGAGAAATTTTATTCGTTTATTTTCTGTTTCCTTTTATTTTTTTTTTTATTTTTTTTTTTTTACATTATCGTATCATTATCTTTTACAGTCAAGTGAAATAATTCGTTTTTATTATTCAAGGAATGATATACAATTATTATTAATGTAAAAGATCCGAGTAATTTCCACCGTCCAACTGGTATAGTAGAACAGTTTGTGTAGATTACAATTTCCATCACAAACGTACCACACAACATGGTGATTGGTACATCGATTTTGTAGAAATTCGATTAACTACCAACGGTTAATGATGGTTAATATGTTGTCCGGCAACATTAAAAAGTGTTTGGTTCAACGTACCACGATTCAACATTAGACATTTTTGTATATTCTAACCTCAAGGGAAAAATTGTAATCCGAGTTTTCCAATTTATCGAATATTAGTAGCTCGTGTAACAGTAAAAATAATTTTAAATATTTATTCGAATAACGATGCAACATTAATATGATATAATCTTTAATCTACTTAAATTTAGTTAATTTTATTTTCTATTATGTATACCGTGTATATTAATAGGTGTACGTAAGTCAGATGTTTATGTATGCTGAATATAATAATAAGCTGTACTCTAACTCCACCACGGGCATAAATATCAATAAATAAATAAATAAATAAATAATATGAAACTCGGTGCATTACCATTGAGGCGTGTTTGTGTATGTTGAGAGTCAGATAAAATCACACGGCAAACGGTGGATACTTATCAGAATAATTACTATAATACGGTCATGATATTATTGTGCGTTCACAGATTATCACCTCGAGGAAAATAAAAAATATTCCTAAATGTTCCGTTCAACGAAACATAGCACGGTAAAGCGTGAATATAATATTATATGCGTGCATAATGTATACATAAATGTATATATTTATTTGTTTGTTATTAGTCTCATATTAATATAAATCATTTCGATATACCACGGAAAAATAAACAGATGTTAAGAAAACTGTTTGATCCTGCACAGTGCGTTCTATCGGCCTACCTACTTTGTAAGTGCAAGCTTGAATTTAAAATATCTTAGAAAATGTTCAAATGGCCTGATTTACATAAATAATGCTTAAGATTCACCGAAAAGTCCACACAAGACGAAATCTCTTTGCAAAAAAAAAAAAGAAAAAAATAGTGGAAGAAAAATAAGAAGTACCCTAAGTTCTACAAAGCGAGACTACTCACAACAAACTCACCCTGCTATCCAGCTCTTTTAAGATAAATAAAAAACCGTGGACTTCGATAAATGTTTTCATTCAGTGTCTAAATTTTCCCTTTTGCTCCGTTACTACCCGTACACTGTCTAACGTGCATGAATTCATTGTCAATCGACTCCGGCGGTAATCAGTGATTTTTCTCCATAAATTTCGAACCAATAATTACTACAATATATAAATGTATACGCGCAGTTACTACTGCGTTTTATTTCACCCGAAATATTAATCCCTTTTACATATATTATTTATTAATATAAATTGTCCTGTTTCATTCTCATAAACCGTTTGATTAACAATCATACAAAATATGAAATTATTGTATCGTATAATATAAAAGCATTTGAATATATAACATATGGACCTTAATAAATATGTTTCAGTTCCAAACATGTCTATAGTAAATCAATAAATTTTGTGATTTATGATTATGTGATGTTAAAAAAAAAAATATAAAGAGCACTTTAATTGTTTGTGTACCATTTGTGTTTGAACTCTATACGAATGTTTCTATTTAAATATTACATCAGAAAGTTTAAATTATTTTATTTTATTATTATTTAGAAATTGAACGTAGTCCAAGTTTGTTACTGAACTAACTATTTCGCTATAAACTAACAACAAACTTATAATTAAATGTATGTGTATTATTATCGTACGACTTTTTTCTTTTTGTTTTGTAAATAAATAATGTTTAGCTGTCTAGAGCTTTATGGAAAAGGACTTGGATTTTGAAAATGTCACATGCACTAGGTTAACACATTAATTGAAGCTTATTTATTAGTAAAGGGGAATGTAAGTTTTTTCCTTTCCACTAAACATAGTTCATTATTTTAACTGCCAAAAGTAAAATTTTAATCAAAACGAATAATGAAAATGATTTTCCACGACGAAACTGACGCACTTCAGTGAATTCGTAATAATCGTGCGTTAATTAATCTTTCTATTGGCAAAAACAGAATGGTTTTTCTTATGTCGACTGCGCATTTAGTGAGCAAATAAAAATATCTTTACAGAACAGTATATAGTATCCTATGCAAATGCAATATCACAACCGTTAACGTGGTACACCGTATTTTGTTTACCATGCGATACCAGAATAATATAGCGGAGGTAATCATTTGTTGCTTGTAGTCGGTATCCCACGGACGAACGGTTGTGGTGGACAACTGTCGCAGCTATCGAGCAAGGGTGTTTAAAAATGTTTAATCCTTACCGCAGGAACATTTTGAAAACGTACCCACATCACGGTTCTGTTTGTACAAAATTTCAAAGTTCTAAGTAATTAATGTCTGCCCGTAGATACTGTTTCGTACAAGTGTGCGTGTGTTTGCGTGTATATGATTTCATTACGTCGCCGCCTTTTATCGCTATCCGCTGCCGCGTAATCGGCTTATTTGTTTATTCGTTCGGTGCAGCGAAAGGAGCACATGCGATTTCCCGCCGACGACGGTATACCCCGTGCCAAGCCCACCGACGTCAAGAAAATTCAAAGTATATCAGTTGACTTGTCAATACAGGTTATAGTCGTGCAGTACGCGGGTTTCGTGTGAAACAAAAGAAGAGAGGCGGGAAAATGCGCGTCACGCGCTCGGCAAAACAATAAATGTCACGGGCAATAGTCCGAACTGAACGGCAAAGTGCGTCTGACGGGCGTTGAGTATCATACGAAAAATCGTCGGATAATCGGTTTTAAATGTAGATTTTCCGACGGCAAACATCAAACCGTCACGATCAAATGAATATTGCACTGCGTTCACGGGCGCGTCGTACCGTGTGACATTCGAATCATACGCATGTCCGCTAACCCTAGACTGGCTGAACACGCGACGATGCCGGTGGACACGTGTTGAACGTCGTAACAAGGTGGTAAATTGCGCAGAGGTAATTACGATAAGGTAAGTGCAGCGATGACTGTCGCGGAGCAATCGCGGTTATGATTCTGCGGTCAATTGTCCCCTCCCCACCCCTTGGGGATACATGACAGACGTTGTTAGAGTGTATAAAAAACGAATCAATGAAATTATATGTTTTATCCTTTTGGACCGGGTGATCCGTGCGCATCCAAAACGGTTAAGAATGCTACCGATTGAGACTGCTCTGATTTATTTGTTTTACTTGGACCAGAGGTGGAACTAGGAATTTTTACGCCCGGGGAAAATGTTAAAATTACGCCCTATCGTAGACTAAAAATCAAATACTGTTCTCGAGAATTTTTTTCTTATAATTAATATACAATCATACTTATTGAGTTTTAACCCAATAACAGTATTTAACAGAGTTAAAAATATCAAATTAATTGTTAATAATTACAAAAATTACACCCTCTAAAATTTTATGCCTGGGGATGAATCATCGTTTTCCACGCTCTAGTTCCACCCCTGACTTGGACTGCTAAAAAACAAATGAAAAAATAATCCGGTTGAGTATACTACGAGACGATCGAACACGCGTTTCGAAAAACGTCCATATCGATGGTAATAATTTAGAATTAAAATGTTTTCCTTGGAAAAAAAAACATAACTATTTGTAATAATGTCAAACTCTAACAAACAAACTGTAGAGTATATATTTTACTTAACTCGATCAAAGCGAATTCTAAATCCCATGGTTCATTATGAAACGTATAGTCACCATACATAATTATGGCGTTGTTCGAATTGACATTGTGACAATGTCGAGAAAAATTGTACTACCAAATAGTTATGAGTAGATATTCTTTAGATAAACTCTATTGTATTCGAGACGATTGTGTGGCAATATAATAATATTTTGGAATAGAATTTTCTGATAATTTTTTTAGCATACATATGAAACAACATTTGAAGCATAATTGCATTTCTGTAATTGAATTGAATGCGTGGACCATTTTACTTTTCATCTGAACCATGGCAGTGAACTTTAATTGAATAATAGTTTATTCATGTTTTTTTTTTTTTTTATTATTTTAGAATTCGAAAAGAAATAAGATTATTTTCAAATAAAAATTTAATTATTTCGAAGAAAAAGAGGGAAACTATGGTCGGTAAAGGTACTTTTGTTATTCGTTTTCTTATTTCTATAATATATTCAGTTGAGACTGACATTTTTGTTGCCGTATAAATAGTATTCGTTTTTTTTCAGTCTTAAAATGAAACATAAAAAAATGGAATCTAATATAATGAGTTTTGTGTTAAGAATTTTCAATTTCCGTGGATATATTCGACATTTTGCTCAACAACAATCAAATATTATTAAATAAACATTATGGTTGCGGTATGGATGTTTTATTAACATTCGACCTTCAATTAAAAAATACATTTAAATGTCAAACAAAGGTTATTTACATTTACTTAAATTTATTTAAGTAAATACCTATTAAAATTTAATTATTAATTAATTTAACCTATTAATTTAAGTTTACCTAAATTTGGACGTTGAAACGTCCAAAAACCGACTACAGGGACCCCTTAAAAACTTATTTAGTCTAACATTTATCAATTTTCAGCTCAATCTATTCGATTCTTTTTGACATTTGTAACGATGTGCATCATTCGAGATTTAGCATGTAAGAAATTAATAAATAACGGTACTTTCATTACGTGCACAGAAAACACAAATCAAATAATAAGTCCGAAACCTAACGGTACTACATTGCCATCTTAAATAGGTCAACCCTCGGAGGAGACCACCTTTGGTCAAATTGCCATTTTGCTATAATTTTTTACATAATATTCTCGTGAGACCTTTAAGAGAGCTCTTTGTTGCAATTCATAACTGTCCACCACCCCGTTAATAACTGTTAGAACAAAGATGCTCTGTGGTCACTGAATGCTCGGTTTAATCGATGTCAATTACTAAAATGCGACGCAATTACAATAACTGAATACAAATTCTAAGCAAATATCGAAAAAGTGTCCAATAGTATTCACGTCCTGTGTTCGTTTCGCTTCATTTCAACCTCCCGCCATTATCATAAGTGTCCAGCTCATCGACATCCGAAAACCGACGACGAACCGAGCATAATTTTATTCAGTTTCCAAGATTACTCAGTTTTACTTATCTGCTCTCATACCTTTTTAACTCAAAATGCCATTGCCTAAACAAAAAGAAAGGTAAATCCAATTCATATCACCAACAATATCATCACATGCTCTCGCACCTTTGACCTTTATTTTATTTTCTTTAATTTTGGGTTGTTTCACTCTATTTCACAATGATTATATTTTTCTAGTTATCCGGGATATCTCTCCAAACCCATGCTAAATACGGTAATCGTTAATACATTATGTTAAGTAAATTTTTAACTTGTCTATATGTAATTAAGGCGTTTCCAGCAGAATAATTAGGCAATTTAAAATTACAAAGTAAAACCAATTTACACAACAGATTACTTTTAAATTGCTGGTATTTATATTTTAAAAGAACTCCCTTTTGATCACCATAATTTACCCATAATTATATTTTATCCTTCTTAATGACTCTGCATTTTACTAAAAACATCATTCGATTGTGTGTAACTTTTCAATGAGAACGAAAATTGAGGTCTTTACAATCATTAATAGTGGGTAACCATTAAATCGATGGTGTAGAGTAAGTAAATGTAAATATATATAATCAAATTCGATTGAGTATAAATGAAGTTTAAATTAAAACAGTTTTTTTTTAACTTCTAAACAATGTTTTGAAATTAAAAATATTATTGTTTACATCCATTGTACATGAACTATTTGGAGAGTAATGAAATAAAAATGAAGACTGACAGCTTTTGGTCTCAAAAAAAAAAAAAAAAAATAGTACAGAGAAGAATTTAATCGTATCCGCATGTAATCAGATCTGTGACTGACATGTTGTTCGCTCGACTATTCTTACAATAATTGTAGAGTTTCACGTCGAATAATATATTATGATAACCGTATACTATGAATGCA